GGCCCGCGAATTGCCCCATAAATAGCCCGGCACCCGATGTTTGCTGTTCGTGTTAACAAAAGGAGAATTTCAAAAAGATTCTTACCCGGGTTTCCGGAAAGTAGAGCAGGCGATCAGAGAGGAAGCTGAGGGAGAAGGTTATTAATTTTGGAAAAGAAGAAAAAGGGAGCCCACTAATGCAAACTGACCCTCTCGGAACCCATAAAGCGAGCAAAGAAGAGAGAGCGCGATGCATTTTCCAGAAGTAGTAGCTTTGACGAAGGATGGCTCGAGTAGCACGAGTAAAAAACGCAAGTCTCCCAGCCCGAGTTACTCTGAGCATTCGACTTCCAGTGCCTTAGCCAACGGACTGGTCAGCATTCGATTATTGTTGAAAGAACTACCTTTATTCGCCGGATTACCGTCCAATATTCTCCATTTTCTTGCTCTCAATGCCCAACCACGAACATATCAGCCTTTCACAGACATAATACGGCAGGGTTCGCAGGGATGCGAAATATATTTTATCGTACGAGGAGAAGTGGAGGTTCTAGATGAGCACCCTGATGGGCGCGAAGCGCGTCGAGGAACGGATGCTGAGGGTCAGCGTGAAGTCCAGGTCAAAGCTCGACTAAAAGCTGGACAGTATTTTGGGGAAGTCGTGAGCCTATCACTAGCTCCCCGTAGAACTGCTACTGTTCGCACGGTCACGTCCGTTGAATGTTTAATGATAAGTGGGGAGATACTTTCGGAATTTTGGGATCGATGTCCTACAGGTATCCGGGAACAAATCGAAAACACAGCTAGGGAACGATTGATCACAGCAACAGATGATGACGTCGAGATGGAGGATATTGCTTCTAATTCAGTACCTCCAATGGATGAACTTGCAATAAAGGAAAATTTCCATGGGTCTGTAAGGAGGCAGTCAATGCCGCTGCTCACGCTCACCGAGACAGAACTCGACAGTCCGCACAAACAAACACGAATAGAGGATCGACCTATCCTAGGACCCTCTGATCCCGACCCTTTCCTAATTGTCGGCTTGGATAATGTGCGATCTAAGTCGCGACGTGGATCTCTTGCTCCAATCATGCCTGATGGAGCATCCTCTTCGCAAGATCAACGACAGCAGTCTCCAGTGAGACCTCGGTCCGGTGCAGCGTCTCCGTCAAAACTAGCAACATTCAGCATTCCCAGCTCTTCCCTTCCTCCCGAACAGTCAACTGCCTCACACCATGCTGATAAAAAATCAGGCAAATTCCGTCTTAACGACAGCCTCCTCGTAGCTATATTCCAGCATCTTGAACTTCACCATCTCCTTCATCTCAGGGTCATCTCACGTCACTGGGCTAATATCCTTACCAACTCACCTCAACTTCTTCATTTTCTGGATCTCAGTCGCTACAATCGGAAGCTTACAGATGACATACTTTCAAATGTCATTTGTCCCTTTGTCGGCGATAGACCTCGCGTTATTGACATGAATAGTTGTTTTCATATCACCGATGAGGGATTTAGGGCGTTGGCAAATACTTGCGGGGGAAATCTCAGATCATTAAAGATGAAAAGTGTATGGGATGTAACAGCGTCCGCCATTTTGGATATTGCCAGTAAGGCGAAATATCTACAAGAGATTGATTTGAGTAACTGTCGGAAAGTCAGCGACACGCTTTTAACTAGGCTTATTGGATGGACAGTGCCGAACCCTCCATTCGGGCAGCACTATGTCAACGGGAAAGCCTCCCAGAATGCTAGGTGGATGGGAATAGGGCTCATCCAGAATACTAATTTGCAGACTTCCCCAGCCAGTGGAACGGTTGTTGGATGCCCCTATCTTAAACGATTAGCGCTCTCATATTGCAAGCACGTTACAGATAATTCCATGCTCCATATAGCATCCCACGCAGCACCACGCCTTGAAGAGGTTGATCTCACAAGATGCACGACAATAACTGACAAAGGCTTTCAGTTCTGGGGAAATGCGCAATTCGTTCGACTGCGTAAACTTTGCTTGGCGGACTGCACCTACCTAACCGATAATGCTATCGTGTACCTAACCAACGCAGCGAAAGGACTACAGGAGCTTGACTTGGTAAGCTACACTTACGAACGCAATTGCATAGGTCATCTAGATCATTTCAGCATTGGAAAACTAACAATACAATAGTCCTTCTGCTGTGCTCTTTCAGATACAGCCACAGAGGTGTTAGCCCTAGGCTGCCCACAACTGACGCATCTAAACTTATCATTCTGTGGATTGGCGGTTTCGGATCTTTCCCTGCGCTCTATCGGATTGCATCTTCTGCTTCTGGAAGAGCTTTCGGTCCGCGGATGCGTTCGGGTTACCGGCATGGGTGTTGAATCCGTCGTCGAGGGATGTAATTTACTTCGTGTTTTTGATGTTAGCCAGTGCAAAAACCTTACTCCATGGCTAGAGTATGGCTTGCACAGGAAGTATGGAGATAAGATACGGTATGAAACAGTTTTCCAGAATGGGAAACTAGTTCGATGACAGGGTAAAATGACGTGCGTTGCTATCAAACTGTAACTCTCCTTTCACGACGATCAGATCTGCTTTCCACTTTTCTTTCTTTTTCGACACTCCATCTATATCATCCTCTTTTCCTTTTCGGATATTATGATATCTTCAACATTTATTCCCAATTACCCATATATATCTACGATCCGGGGTTTTCAGAGACAGCCGCGAAACTATCACTTTGGCGTTTGACATGCATTGCCCAACCTGCACCGTTGAATTCAAATCTGCTTTTTCTCCCGATTTATTTAGTGATTTTTCTCTTCCCTTTTGATATTTTTACTTTACGACTACCATGATATCCACACCACCATGTTACATCTTTGGTTTTTTTTTTTTTTTTTTTTTTTTTCATCATCTTTATCATTTAATTTGGTCTCCACGCATCCGAGTCGCTCTTCGAGGATGTTAGTAATTCACCTACGGTTTCTGCTGGAATGGAGGTGCTTGGTTCTTCTACCATGCTTTCTTGGCGTTTATAGAGGACGGATTTCAACAGAAGCTCGTTGACAACTTGCCGACTTTCTGGGATTTTAGTGAGCTGTCGCCAAGTACTCAAATCCTTTTTGGGGGCTTTCCTTTCTTTTTTGGAAAAGCAAAACTAACTCATATGCGTGCCCATGTTCTAGAACCTATTTTCTTGGTAGTTTATGGGGGCTGGGCTGCTCTCACTACAATAAGGAATGATTTCGATATTTTGGATTAATGTCTCTTTTTGCCTTTCATTGCTCTCTATACGTTTTTCCCCCTACCAATTTTTTGATTTTTTTCTTTCTCGCCATCCCAAAGTCATTATATTCTCTTTTTCCCTTGCACTTTTTTGTATACTTTGTTGTGAGGGGGCAAAGAGTTTCATCCTAGCTCTGCCGATTACATTTTTTCATTAATGCGTTTCTCAAGCGGATGACCTCCTTGAACTGTGATCCTCAATATGAGGATAAAAGCTTAAAGGAAGCTCGAACGCATTTGAATGAAAATACCCAACTATCTTGGGGCGTTATTACAGAGTCATTTATTGTTCCTTTTCTTTTCACGTTGCGACGCGCCAGAGAAAGAAAGAAAAGTGAGAGCAAGAGAGCATGAGAGCATGAGGGAAAACATTAAGGCAAAGGAAAGAACAAAATGACATTGTTTTTCCTCCTGAAACAAAATGCCATTGTGTAGCTGGACAAAGAAAAAGCCCAACTCTCTTGGTGAAAATCAATGCGCATCATGCGCTGTCAAAGAATATCAAAAGAATTTGGCCTGGGAAAAAAAAACATACCTGCACCATTTCAATTCTACTACTTTTTGGGGAAACTCAACCCCGAGTCGTTTCTATTGCAGATATGTCAAAAGCGCCTCAACCTTCTCCTTTCTCCAACATACTCATTTTTATCTCAACCCCTTTCAACCAGAGAACTCTAAAATGCTTTGATGGAATATTTTATTCATTTTTTGCCATGATTTTCCAATCGCATTTAACAGCGGGAAAATCCCGAAATGAAAGCCATCATCTATTCACCAGAAATATTCTCCCGACGGAGATTATATATCACCTTCAAAGTGTCCTCGACTATGCTGGGTTATTTCCCACCTCCATTTTCGTTTATTTTAGAATTTTAACTATCCTGGAATACCTGTCCGAACCCAGTTGGGTAACCCCCTTTTTCGATTGAATATTTTCCAACGAATTTTATATTTTTCTCTACTTTTTTTTTTTCCTTCTTTCTATTTTTGGGAGGGGATTTACGGCTTTGTACACCCCTGTCTTTTACCATCCACTGTTTATTTGAGTGATGACGTCCTCCCAGAATGATAAGGCACTCGGGGAACTTGCGAGTCTGTTTGAGTCAGAAAATGGTTCCCAATCACCAACAATGGCCCTTGGACAGGACGCGTTCCTCGCTGAGCTAGTGCAGGATGCGCCGGCGATAGAACATCAACACGCTGCTCCTTCGCCCGAAAGAGTCAAAAAGCGACTCTTCAGTGGGGCAGACACAGAGACAGAGGATGCCTACGAGTCTAAGAGGGTCAAATTAGACATGTATGAGAAGGTGAATTCATTTAATCTCAGACAACGTATAGACACGTCCGTCAAAATGAAAAATTTACGTGCTATTCCAAAGAAAAAGACAAACGACAAGGGGAAGGGGGAGAAGCCGGAGGAGGTGGGTCAACTGACGGAAGATGAGCAGTCGGGGGATGAGCTAACGGAGTGGGATGTGTTAACGGAGGATGAACTGCCACCTGATGACGAGTTGAACAGGTTGCGACAGGAGTTGAATGATAAGGAGGAAGAGTTGGCGAGGGCGAAAGCGCGGACCGAGCATGCGAGGGGGCTTGCGAAGGCCCGGGGGGCTAAGAAGGCTGCGGGGACGGAGGGGGTTGAGGTGGGTGAAGGGGATGAAGGGGGTGAGAAGGGAGGCAGCAAGAAGAAGGCAGCCAGTAAGAAGAAGTCAGAAATCGAGAAAAAGGCCCCAAGATCAGTAGAGGCGTGTAACATGTGCAAGGTATGTAATCATCGACTCCGTGGCTGATTTACATACTTTTATTTCCGTCTCTCTGTCTTTGGGCGTCGTAAATATTGCTTATCTGATCTATAAACATTCCCTCTAACTAACCTCCACCCAGCTTCAATCCTTTTTGTTGTTTTTCTATAGCTAACCCTCGGCAAACTAGATCAAAAAAATCAGATGCAGCGCCAATAGAATTGCATGTAAATCGTGCAGGCAAGCAAACGAACTGTGTTGCTTTACTCACCCTACTACTGGAGAGTCATTTCTACGCGGATGGCGCGTAAGTCGATTTGGAGATGTAGTAAAGGAGCTGGGGCAGCTGCGCAAAGAAAATGAGGAATTACGAAAACATAGTGAAATGTTGGAACGGAAATGTCGGCAGGATTCAGAAGTCAAGAGCTTACTTGACGAATGGAGAAGACAGGAGAAAGCGAAAGACGACGCCAGAATGAAGGCCCGAAAGGAAAGATTGAAGTACCAAAGGAAATTTAAAAAGGAGTATCTGAGAACGAAGGCGGCGGTTATAGCCAAGGCAATAGAAACGGAAAATAAAGATACGCAGAAACTTGCAGGAACAGGAGCAGGAACACAACATGAAAATCAGCCACAGCGCGTTCCAGCAGTAAGTTCCCTTATTCCCCGTGGAGATTGTTCCTCAATCCCATTACTGACTTGTGGAAATCAGGATAATTCTATGGCCCCAAGTGGAGGCAATCTGCAAGCCTACCAGCAAAACCCTTTTTCTGATATAGATAGTAGCTATCCTGATCCGTATGGAGGTAGGTTCACCCTTCCGACAAATATGATTATCAACCTCCTGGGACTATTGGAAATAGCTAATGAAAATTTCCTTTTCAGGATTGTCATCCATTGTACCTGGAGTCTTCCAGCTCTTCAAGAGCCCAAAACTTTCTCGGACTTCCCTTCTCAGTACAGCCTTGACTTTGCTCTTGACCCTGAACTCACAAAACCTCGCCAACGTAATCGGCAGCAACCCCGACAGCCCCAACAGCCTCGCACTAGAGGCAGAAACCCCCCCGCTAGGCAGCCTCCACACCCAAGTCAGGGCATGGGAGAAGCATCTACGAAACAAAACGTTGATCCACGGACACAACAAACTGAGCATGGTATCTTTGTTGACCCACAAGACCTGCAGTTAAAGCCAGAGATGCCAAGGCAGCCAACACACGAACATCCAGAGCAAGACCTGCCACCGCAGAGTACCAAAAAACAATTCGATGACATCCGCGACTCTGAGTTTTAGGGAAATTGCTCCTTCGTTAAAAAGGAATTTTTTTTTACCTCCATTCTTTCCTCTCTTCCCGGTTACTGTGGTGTTGGAGGATAGTGTATATGTATGCATGATGATGGGGCCGAGAGTGTCACCAGCTATTTGTGTATATCTAGGCAAAAAGCAGGAGCGCTGGTGAGCATTTTGACCCTAATCCTTCTTTTATCCAGTCACAAATTCCCTCTTCCTCTAGATTCTGGCTCCTCTGCTCCCGGCGGTTTCGACACCAACGTCGGTAAACATAGGTTACTCTCCCAGTTATGATTACCACGCTTTTATTGATTAGAGTCGGTCTACTTCAACTTTCATTACTTCGCTTGTTCAATTTTTTTCGCCTTTTTCTTTCCTTTCCTGTCCTTTCCTTTATCTCTCTTTTGCTTTTCCTTCTTTTTTTTTTGGAGTTGGCCTGCGGTGGACCACGATTGGCTATTGTCTCTCTTGAATTTTATTGATCAATGTCCTTATTCTCATATTTCATTTTTTGGTTTAAAATGGCTTGGGTGTTTCCCAAATGCATAGTTACACGTAAGAAAACAACAAAAAGTTTCAGGATCAAGGTTATAACTAATGCTGCAAGTCATATTTGTTATTATTGTTCATTCATACAAACTTATCGTCCAGAACAATCGCAGCTTCCCTTGTGTGAAGAAAATGAGTGAGAAAAGCGCTCTATTATGCACCCTATGTTGATACAGATGGGAATGAGCTGTTGAATATATGTTCAACATACACAATGACAGATTGAATATATGAGGCACTTGATAGGGTCATGTGCTCGTATGTTCCAGGCTAACTTTTTTTTTTTGGGGGGGGGGGGGGGCTTTGCATTGAACACTTGATGAACAACTTGATTCATGTACTATACTACTAAATTAGAGAGAATGCTATGCACCCCGTATTACCAACAATCAAATTTTATCTATCCATCTATCTATATATGCAACGATGTTATAGCTAAGGTGCTGGATTATTCAAGATACCATAGGCAGGTAATGCGATCTCCCGCTGACCTGCTTTTTCCAAACACAACAAACCCCTTTGCTTTCGCACCATTCCCTCACAACTCCTGGGCCAACTTCTCGATCCTCGCCGATGCGGCCAAACCCATCAGTGTTGAGCCATGCAGCCAGGTCTTCGAGCTGAATAGGGTCATACATGAGAATCTTCTCATACCATGTAGGTTGTTTTAATCCGTTGAACGCTCGAGTTCGGGGTTGAGATTTAATGGCCTTAGTGATCTGGCTAGCAAGACTTGGCGGCTCGATGGAAAAGGATGCAGAGCTAGAACCCTGTCTAGAACGTCTGGCATTTGGAGTTGCCGGAGATTTTATTTCAAGCATATTTTCTTGAATTGTTGTGCCGTTCCCATTATGATCCAGAGAAGGTAAAAACGAAACTGTTTCCCCAACGGAGTCACTTAGTTGATCGTCGTTTATGAGGATCGTGTGTGAGGATATAATCGGCAACATTGATGCGGTCGTTGTCGAATTTTCAATTGGTAAGAAATTATTCGGTTCCTGAAACTTAGAAAGAGCTTTCGCCTGCTGCTTTTTGGGCGACCGCCTGTTGGCGAGGGTAGCTGAATCAGGTCGTACCCTCACGTCTGAATGATTCTCTTTGCGAAAGCCATTTTTCCGGGCATCATCAGTGCCTTGATTCGGTTTTGACTCCAGTATCAATGTCTTAGATTGGGTTTCCCAGCACTTTTCAAGAAGTGAGATCATATTATCCCTACTCTTGATAGGTTTGAAGCCATACGCAGCAACCTTTTTCGCCAATTCTGACGTTGTAAACCTGCTGAATGCAGGTTTGTTCTGAGGAGCACATTCAAGGTTTGTTTCTGAAGTATTTGCTGAAATCTTGGGATTGAGATTTTCTCTATCCACAATATTGTCTGCTACGGAGGAATGATTCCCGTTCTCCCCTTCTGTTGTGTCAATATCCAATTTTTTGTCAGGAACGTTGTCAACGTCAACCAAATTTCTTCTTGGTGGGCCCCTGTTGCCAGGGTGGCATCTGGATTTGGTTGCGAGAACAGAAAGCCCCATTGAAGCCCCTTGAAAGTCAATTTCATCTCCCTCGAAAACGGCACCCGTTAAATCTCTGGCACTTGCTGACCAAAGATTCTTCGAACCGGACAATCCAAACAAACTCGAACCTAAATCCTTGCCTTCTGAAGAGATCCTGTAGGGGACTGCAAGCTCTGAAACAGCTGCTGAGTTACTTGGTGAGTTTTGGGTGTCTTGTGTTTCATCGCATGGATATTCCGGATATCCTCGTTCTAACTGACTCGAAGTCCCAAATAACAACTCCTGTCCTTCGAAAGATTTGAAAGCCTCAAGTGGAGGAACCACCCTAAATACCGGACGGCCATTGTCGTTCTTCAAGGTACTTGACTTCCCCCTACCTGAATTCGAATGTTTCGTTCCAGATGGTCGATTCGATATGTTCTTCCTTCTGGGACTTTTTGGCGCCACATTTTGGATATAATCTAAATCGACTGTCTGATCAGCCACACAGTATTTGGCAGTGGCGTGCGACGTGATTGTCGTTAGTTTTCCCTTCTGTGGTTTCTTGGCCTTCACTCTTTGCTGTTTTGAGGAGGAACCCTGAACGTCTTCAGTTGTAGAGGATTCGGTCGGAGTTGGGATTGCTGGAACGGTAGAAAATTTTTGGAGCTGGAATACAGTTAGCCAACAACCTATGGCAAGATAGCAAGAAACTGGCGAAGTACCTCCATCGGACGTTTAGTCGTGGGAGCATTACGGAAGCTCTCTGATTTAGTCCCCAGCGATGTTTCCACTACTCCGCTGAATCCATAATCAGAAAGCAGAGTCCCCACGCCGTGCATTCTAGTCACAGCCTTACCGCACGGCGACGAGTGAAGCTCAGCCACATCTACCACTGGTGTTGTTACCTCTCTCGTAGGAGTCCAATCATGCCGTCTTTTGATAGCCTGTTCAAGTTTTAATTCGCTCGATCCATTGTCCATGTCATCTCCGACCAATGGCAATGTATTGTTGCAGACTTTCGACGACGGAATCTTCGCGTCTAGATCAAGGTTCTCAGAAGACTTTACTTTCGAAACCCGTGCATACAATTTTTTATCTGCTACGCCATCTCGTTTTTTCATGCGTTTCGTTGTCTCTCCTTTCTTCTCTCGTTTGTCGTGGCCAACGATGAGGCGATCTCCTTCCACGATTTTGATTTCTCTTCGCGTAGTGGTTTTAGGACTCCTTGTTCTTTGTTTATGTTCCTTTGATGGTCCGGTTACAGGATTATTCCTTGGCACACGTCTAACTTGCCGGACTCCATGGCAAATTGTGTTTTCTCCATTTGTGTCAGGATTTGTTGTCTTGCGAGATGGTGTTTCTGACAAACTCGCCAGCAACGTCAAAGGTGTTGGAGGGGTTGACGGCGACGACAACTCAATGACGTTCGCAGGACTCGGGGGCGAGCCAACAATAATAGGAGTAACAGAGCACACCAATGGCGTGGAGCTTGATTGAGATGTGATGGCAGTGTTATCCATTGCTCCGGGAATGCCTGTGGGAGTATGGGGCGAATTAGAAAATCACCAAAGGCCTCAACATCTGTGAGAGCCGCAATGGTGCTTCAATGTTTCGATGTTATCTGTGACGTCGAGATTTTGACCAAATGAGAAAGCTTGGCGCAAGCTTCTTGGAGGGTGACCCGATTGGGACAGAGTGGCTGTCCGGGCAACCATGTTGTTGGCTACTCTGTCGAATAAAAAAAACGCACCAATTCCAAGAGAACTACTACTCTGTTGCTGTATCTGGTATTTCGCACTCGTTCTACTGATTGTATTTACTACTATTCTTTCACCAGTTATTTTTGCAGCAAGTTGTGCGCCGAAAAATGTCATGCCGCCCTTTTTAGAGGGTACTAGTAGTAAGTTCGTTCCATGGCCATAACCAAAAGAAAGATTCTGGCTGGTTGATCAAAAGGAAAACTCCTAAATAAAAATCTCCTGGATTCGGCTAACGGCTTTCCTGTTATGAATGACAAGCCCCCTCCCCGACCAGTATATTCCTGACATAATTCACAATAAGAATGAAATCGACCATCATTAACATATGTAGCAGCCGAAGCTTGCGAAAGAATCCAATAGAAATAGAAAAACTCGAAGCCGTGAGAGAGGAAAATATCCTTAGATGGCCATTCAACAATTTCTGATATAACATCGAAATCAGCCGCAACATCAAGATTGATCACGAGCCTCTTAAAGCCATGAGGCCAAGAATAGTCCTTTCAAGATCTCTCATTTCCATCTCCACCGGCTTATGGGAGTAGTTCTGGCCAGCCTTGCCAGGTTCAGCCCTCGGCGCTGGTTTAGTAATCCCCGAACCCAACTTATATGCCTTCTTAATCCTGCCAATATCTGACACCAGACGGAGGTTGTCGTCGTCAAAAGTAAGTGGGATTCCCTTGACCACTTCACCCAGATGTTGAGCTACGGACTCATTTGTCACCCCTGGTGGCATGGAAACTTTTACCACTATTAAATCCTTTGTGGCGTCGGTCAACCCAAATTTTCGAAAGGATTCTGCAATCTATCGAGCAGTCAGTAATACCCATCTAAATACCGTGGGAAAATGATCAAGATAGAACGATGGCACGGACATTATTATTAGCGCCGAGCGAATATACTATTTCTGAATGAACATTCTTCGACTTCAACCGGTTGTTTTGGTGGTCATTAAGTGCTCGAAACACAGCTGCAAGCAGGTGGGTAGTAGAGAGTATCTATCGGCCTTTCAGGTTAGAACTTTTTCAACAGAACCAAATGCCCCTCGTGTGCGGGGTCGATTGATGGGGCAATAATCCCACCGTTGCAGCGTCGATGGAGGCATATTCAAATTCAGTATTTCCAGCAAGTAGTTGCTCCCTTAGAAACGATGCATTTTGGAGATCTCGATATAACGCGATATGCACTGGCCTGTTCGAGGGCAGATGGGAAAGCTGGATCGTCTGAATGGAGGGCATGTTTAAAGAACAGTATAAAGATGGTGCCTCACATCCAAGGGAAAACAACTGTTGGCAGGGACGGATGGAACCCGCATGGTCTTTAAATATGTACATCAAACAAAATGAAATTTCAAGGGCAAGTTCAGGTTGGTTTGACTCGACATTCGGAGCGAACTATGGATCACGTGATTTTCATCATTTGGAATTTTCTTGAACCCCAATCTGCTTCTCAAGATTCCACGTCTGTGGTCCTTCGTTCATCCTGATCTCACTACTAGCCATGTCGTTCATTCTCCGTCGCCCATTTGCCGTCTCTACGGCGCTCAAACACTTTCCAAAGCAGCCAAACACAACTTATCGATTCATTCACAGCTCCCGTTTGAAACAAGCGCCATCCTCCTCGACTCTGAAGCGGTCTTCCACCTTCGCACGATTCAATCAAACATATCAAAATGCATTCCGCCGGACATACCGACAAATCTCCTACCAGGAGGCACATACGTCAGGAAACAGGACGCAAAAGCTACTTTATGGTGCGGCCATCGTGGGAGGCACCATCGTTGCAACAAACATGATCTTCAACCGCGAAACGAGGGAAGATGGCGGCATGCCACTTTTCGAGCGGCAGTATCTGAACCAAACTTTTATGCACACTGGCCTTGGTATCGGAATAATCGCTGTCGCAGCTCGCGCTCTGCACACCTCCGGCTGGTCTTACAGGCTGATGGCCACGAATCCATGGGCGGTTGTCGGGCTGAGTTTAGTCGCTAGCATCGGGACCATGTATGGCACATTTTACACGGCTCCTGAGAAGTAAGTTGGGAAACGAATTCCTCTCCCTCCCCCTTCCCCCCCCTATTCGCCACCATCCATCTGCCTTCTTTATTTCTCGAGAGACCTAACATCTTCGAAACAGCTACCTCCAGAAATACGCTCTGTGGGGCGCCTTTAACTTGACCCAAGCCGCCGTCCTCTCCCCGCTAATATTCCTATCCCCCGCCCTTCTCGCCCGCGCCGGCCTCTACACAGTTGGCATGATGGGCTCTATCGCCTTCGTCGGTGCAACGGCCAAGCAAGAGAAATACCTCTATCTCGGCGGTCCCTTACTTGCCGGCGTTGCCATCGTGGCATTGTCCGGCATTGCTCCCCTCGTTGTCCCCGCCACGGCCGCCCGAACCCTTGCGTGGTCTGAGCGCATCTGGCTATACGGTGGCCTCGCGGTCTTCGGAGGCTTTACGCTCTATGATATTCAGAAGATCTTGCATCATGCTCGCATGGCGGAGCGACGACTAATTAAGAAGGACGTCGTGAATGAGAGCATCAGTCTCGAGCTTGATTTCTTGAATATTTTCATCCGGATGGTGCAGATTCTAGGTATGAGAGGTAACAACCGGAAGTAGAGGTTTCTTGTTCACTCGAAGTAGGATGAGCTGGAGCTTGGGACATTACAGTTACACGTCAAATGCTCAACTTTGAAGTGATATATCTAGATGAAGGTTCCCATGTACACAAACATGACAGACCTTCCAACACCCCAATGGAACTTCAAAAGAAGGAAAAGGAATGAGAAGGAAAGGAAAGGAAAGGAAGAGGCCCAGAGTGCATAATCCAAGCATTTCGAACTTGCCAAGAAGGTTGCTCCCCCATACTTTTTTGTTTCCCCCCTTCCCTTCCCAACCTGTATACATAAAAAGCCATATTTTGCGTTTTGTTTGTTTTCTATCAATCTTTCCCATGAAGACCAGAACAGAACATGAGAGCGGGTTATGAAAGATCTCCCATCAATCAAAATTTCCGAGTAGGAAATGAAGAAAAAAAAAATTAAAATTAAAATTAAAAAAAGAAAAATATAATATAATCGAGACCAATATATATATATATATATATAAATATATATATCTCTTCCCCTCCCTACTTATATTTTTGGAATGAAATATCTGTAGTTCTTCAATGCCTGGACTATTGGTAATAATATTACCCTCACACGGGACACCTAGTTGAACGTAGTTCCTTCGTAGGAAAGTGGCTCTCATCACCACCATGGTTAGTTACAACTTCAAACCGTAGTTAGGCCCAGGCACACCATCATCACCTAGATCAACAACACCATCATGATGTTATACTCAGCAGCACCCATCAGCAGGGCAGAGCACAACCTACCAACTAGAACTAGTTCGATACTAGAATTCTTCTAAATTGACTGACAACGATTGGCATAATATTTACATCTATATAAGGAAACTATCCGGGGTAAAATTAATTACACGTGTCATAGAGTTGCAGGATCTTAAAGAATGATAGAAAAAGGAGCCAAGCTCCTATCTACATAACTAGTTAGTTAAAACTTAGAAGTAGATCTTATCTAAGGTTAGAATCTAACCATGTGGATGATCTGCATTTTTTGCCATGGTCAACTACGCAGGAAAAACGAGGAAGACATGAGATTATCCAAGGGGGTCGATCATACGACTCTGAAGCAGCTCCTTGAAAATACTGCAACAGAAGTAAAGACCAATAACTTACTAAAGCGGGCGGAGTGATGCAGTAGGGTTGTTCGATACCCCCTATTAACCTGGCGCCTGGTGGCTGAGCGTGAAGGACGCAACGTCCAGAAGAAAACAAAAACGCGCTGGGTAATGTCGCATCAGTGTTTTGTTTTTCCATTCCACATTCCAATCGAAGAAATGTAAAATAACCTTTTGAAAGATCTTTATTATTATTATTTTTTCTTTCTTTAATCCATTATTTATTATTTTCTTTCATTTTATCTTATTTATATATGGAACATGGAGAAAGGAAGCGGGAGAAAAAAACAAATCCTTCAATACGAAAAATTAAAAACTCTGTAACAAAATAATAAGGATGCATGCATGCATGCTAGAAAATGCGAGAAAATACGATTCTCTTCAGAGTTTCCCACGACTGTATGCCAAACGCCTTACCCATGACGCAACATAATGAGCAAAAATAAGGGCCGGGTGGCTCCGGGCAAGTGAAAAGATGGGAGAGAAATAAAAAGAAAAGAATAGAATAGAAGAAAAAATATATATAATATCTCCAGGTTCTCATAATAACCCGATAAAGGAAGCTGTCAATGAAGTCAAAATAATGCCCATTGGCACTCCTGCCAATCCCAGAGTCCCATGCCTCAAACTGGAAGATCCCGAGTTCAAAGTATTGTTATGAGCGATCCAATCGGGTGTTCCACACAAACCGCTCCCAGGCATCTTCTCCGCAGGGAAAATAACCTTTGGCAAGCCAGCATCCATTGGAACCGCAAGCGTCCCTGTAGGATCGACTGTATAATTCGTGCAACCTAACACTTCCGTGACGATCATGCCAGGTGCGTATGAACTGCGCAGGTCGATGCGGTAGGGGCCCCCGTGCTCGCCCTGGTTAGAATAGACGACCGTGAGATGACTGCCCTCGACACCCTTGCGCGTAACGAGGGCGCTACCGTCGCTATAGGTGATGTATGATTTGTTAATGACGTATTCGGCATTGACGCTTATGACGTGAGCGCGGATCTTGTTGAGGGTGGTTGTTAGCTTGTAGAGGGGCGCGTCAGTGTTGTAGTTTGAAGTCCAGAGAGCTTCGCGGTTTTCTGGGGTGTCACCGCCGGAGAAGTGTTGTTCTTGTCCCTGATAATAGAGTGGGATTCCGTCTGAGAGAAGTGTGAAGACTATGGCGTTTTGGGCGAGCTGAGGTGTTGTTGCGATTAGTAACGTTCATGGTTAGAGAAGCGTTGGGGCGGTCGTGTAGAGGGTTTTCATATATATTACAAAAAAATGATGCACATCCAACTTACAGAGATATCTTTGGTATAAGATGCAAATCGCGGAAGGTCATGGTTCTCTGTGAAGGTTGCAAGTGTAGTGATGTCATTGCAGGTTGCTTTTTCCAGGGAAAGCTTTTCTGAGTACACCTTTGTTTTTCCGGCAGTAAAAGTTTCAATCATGGAGAAATACAAGGGGTAATTCGGCACGCTGGGCAGGAGGTTTTGAAAGTCGCAGACTTTAGCCACATCGCCCTCGTACACCTCCCCCGTGGCGAAAACGCCAGATGCCTTGGCAACTCTCTTAAGATACTCCGGGCCCACATGTTTTGCAGCATCTATCCGAAGGCCATCAATTGAGTAGTTGGCAACGAGATCCTTGACCCACGACTCCATCATCTCATTGACTTCTTCGGACTCCGTGTTGAGATCCGGAAGCGCAACAACATCATCACCCATCCAACAATTTCGTGCTTGTGTGTAATTACTGTAGTCTTCGATCTTGCAATAAGGATGGTAATATTTTGGGTCGTTGAAGGGATTGAACATCGTGTAATCAATCGAAGTAAACGGCTTGCCATCGAGTATCACAGCCATATTATTTATGACGATATCGACCATCAAGTACATGCCGCGACTATGCAGTTCCCTCGCGAGGTCAAGAAGATCCTGACGTGTTCCAAAATGAGGATTCAATTGATAGAGATCCTGAACCCAATAGCCGTGGTAGGCCTCGCCATATTTAGACAGACCCTCGATATTCATCGTGACTGGAGATATCATGATCGCGTCAAACCCGAGGTCTTGAATATAATCCATTTTGTTGATTATCCCTCTCCACGTTCCTCCACAGATGAGGCCCTTGCGGGGGTCGCATTCCGCCGTCGTCGAGCCATCACTCCTCGCAAATCTGTCCGTAAAAACCTGATATATAGACCTGAACCGCCAGTCCTCCGTGCTTGCCGCTAATGAGAGTGCAGCAAGACGGCATAAAATAAGAAGACCCAACAGCCGACATGGAAATTGAAGTGCTGAAATCATCGCTTTCTTCGTAATTCCCACCGAGATTCAATCTGTCCAACGCGCAAAGAGACAATTCACACGGAATAGCCTTCGCGCAGCAAATAGAAAGTACCGCGATGCCTTGCGAAGCTGGCTACCACATCGATTTTGTTGAAGTTTGGCAGCTATCGATGGCAGGCGTGGTGGTTTGGGGTGGAAAGGAAGACCGCGGAATAAATGTCGGCACTTTGAGTAATATCGATTATTCTATGATAGTTTATTCATGGTGGTCATTTAAAAGAAATGGCGGTAGTTATTCAATTCGAGAAAGAAGTAGCCCTTGCTTCTCTTCTCCCTCCGAAACTAGCTTCTGAAGTGACAAATGGTCACGCGTAATGATATTGCGCACCGGCTGTTATCGATTCCAATTTCCCAGGTCGCGCGGCAGCTATAGGAGTCTTGCGAAAATAATAACGAGCGTGTGTCCCAGGCGAGCTGCGAAGGGGGGAATCAGTCCCTAAACGAGAGCAAGGACGGACTGAGCAAAACAATGTCGCTGCTGGAGAAATACGCGCAATGAAATTATTATTAATGGGGGCCCCAGGTAAAGTTTTCAAAGGGAGTGGACAGCAATGCTCAAAGTCCAACTCAAAAGAGTAATTGTTTGCTGGTCAGCGCGGTGGAGCAAAAAAAAAAAAAGATAAATAAACAAAAATCCAGAGAAAGTTTGGATGGAGCCATCGAAGGCCCGAACAACCGACAGACAACGAAGGTGCCCGCAAAACCGCAGACTTCCAGACCCTTATTAACCTCTTGGGCTCCACGAGAGATTCTAAGCAACCTTCAGGAAGGGAGGAGGCCTCCCGGCCCATACGTAGATTATGTAGAAGGTCGGCTCAACAACATAGGCGCTGTCGCACCTTCACAGACGTCTCAGTCTATCCAAACTTCCGGAGAATCGCAGCTCGAACTATGGACCCCACCGCGCTGGTTTGGTGGTTCCATCACCAAACAATGGAGCCGGATTGCATTGGTCGTCCATACAAACAGCGGAACATGGAACAAGCAATCGCCCTTTCACTCTGGCTCACTGATGGCTCATGGCCACAACGCATCAAGCCAAATCAGTACCACTGCGAAAAGCGAAGGCTGAAGGGCGCTTGAGTGAGAACCACCTCCAGGGCAAGTCCCCCAGGGTAGTCAGTCCCCCAGACCATCATCCAAGCGTTGGTTGGTGGCGACGAAAGAAGGACCCATCCATGGATATCGGGCACCGATGCGATCTGGAAGTCACATGCCTCCAGGGCTGGCTCGGCAGGAACCTCCGTCGCGGGAATGGGCTTGGCTATATTTAGCGGGATCGGGCAGGGCAGGCTTGATTGTCCAATCAGACGCAGCTGCTGGTTTTCGTTGTTTTTGTCGTCTGGCCAACCCTACCCAAATGGTCAAAGCGTGCCAAGGTTCAACTGCCGAGGCAAATACGGAACCTGTGGCTCAAGTATCCATTGACCCGGACGCCAAAAGTCAGATATACAGTAGGCACAGACAGTCCGGTCCAGCATCTCATATGTGGGCAGCGCAGTTCACAAATATGTGGTCGCCAACGGAGGAGGGTCCGGTGGTATTGAGACATTCCGGTTTTCCATTTCGTGTTTGCAGCACACGGTCTGCGCAGGATTCAGCGGCGACTTGAAAATTTCTATTCGTGGAGATGTGCGGGGGTATTTCTTATTTTCAAAACTTAAATTAAATTTATTTACAGGAATATTCCAGGAACATAGTTATATTTGAAAGCTATTATTCTTGCAACCTCACGTCAGAAATTTATGTATATCCGATCTGTCTTTCCTTCACTTTGCGAGCGAAACGGGATCCGGGGTTGGTCTTTCTCCTTGAACCCTGTAGGGATCGATCGGAAAAATGTGATAAACTATTGTATTTAATAACCCAAGTGCGTAGTAGGTAGTCCAGATCCCCCCAGCATAAGCGAACAAAACCCACCCGTTCAAACTTCCCGATTCCCACGCGCTTCCCCTTCAAACCCTTCCGCCGCCTTTGTATATGCTCCAATGACATCCAGCAGCGCATTGTGCTCCTTCCTCAACCTCTCCCCCTCCATAACCCACTGATCCCTCGTCTTCACAACAGCCTCTTCATCAACAATCTTCTCATACCTCATCAACCAATCCCGCCTATCCGCAACGTCCAATTCCTCCAAGTTCCTTGCAGCCACCCTTTCCTGCTCCACCAGCTCCCCCAACTCTCTCTCCTTGGGAACCACCTTGTCGTACTCCTGGATCTGGTACTGACACTCCATGACCCGCCGGTAGATCAGGCCCATGTTCCTCCTCTCCCGCCCAGACATCTTGCCAAAGGTCACCAGCACGGTCGCCGCGGTCCATTTCCATGGTATCTGCGAGGCAGGGAGGAGAATCTGCATGCCGCGTACTTGCCGTGGTTGCCCAAGCACGTTCTCCAGCGCGCTCACGACGTGTCCGCTGATGAAGCCGTATTGGTGGTGTTCTGTGCTGAGGCGCTGGCCGTTCGCGACGCGGATGCTGAGGAGTAGGGACATGTCTCTGAGCTCTTCGAGTTTGACGAGCTCACATATCTTGCGATTGAGGCGTAGAAGGACGGAGAGGCGCGGGTGTCTTTTTCGCTCCCACCCCGTGAGCAGCCTGCGCCGCCCACGACTCTTCTTTCCCCCTTGCTGTTGCTTCTTGTGATGCCGCGTCCGTTGCTGGTTCTGGTACAGTTGTCACTTCGGTGATGGTAACATTTCCGGTTGATGATTCGAAATCCACATCAAGATTGCTTCTCGGGGCCCGGAGATGGATATACTCATCAGAGCAGCCTTTGGTTCCCTGGATCTGTATTACGATCTCAGCGTTTGTTCTGAGGTCGCTGTCGTTTACAAAATCTGGCTCCCCCTGGCTGTCTAGCCAACGGAGGATTCTTTCGTTTCGCGGTCCAGCATTTGGCGCTGCTGAAACGTGGCCAAAGGCTGACATCGGCACCGTCGGTTCATTCCTGGTGTTTAAAAATGTTGTTTAAGAGCTAGATCAGACGCGCATCCCCCTCTCTCAAGACCTTACTAATAATTGGAGATACCACTTACAACGGCGACATGTCGTATTCCACTAAACAAAGCCAGGAGCTAGACACTCTGCTGGCACAGAAACAGCCCCGTCACAAGAACGCGTTGGAAAATGAACAGAATAGGGTCTTCAAACAGCTGGGCTCAATAAGAAAGGAAGCACTGATTGAAAAAAGAAAAAGACCTTGTCATTGAGATGGTATTCCTGAATTTCATATAAAGAAATTTTCAATCCAGTTTCATTATAATGCATGACTTGCATTTGAAGGGATTGCTTCACTCTTTCTCATTCAGCTGGTCAACCATTCCCGCCACGAAGTGAATGATGAGGTATCTCTTGACATAATAAATCATTGACTCCATGTGAGATATAGCAATGGAAAACATCCTCAAATACAGAATATTTCATGTACTATCACACACAAAAATTATGTGTATCATTCTCAAATATCTATTGTGTACAAGGCATTCAATAACCTCCCTTAATTATGAACGAAATCAAATGGATCACAAACAATGCAGGCAAGTATACAGTGGCCAGCTCCTCATTGAAATGGTTCAGGACTGTCACCACAGACCTTCAACTTGTATCAGGGGGCCCTCCGTGCACCAGCAGTGAAGAAACACCAGTTCGTTCGACAGTTGCAATACTTGCCATCAGGCGTCATCAAGTTCTGCTTACACCTAACATAATGCTAATTCTCACCGCGCTATGGAGTATCATGGCAGATATTATTTACAATAGGAAGACGAGTTGTTAACTTTACCACAGTGGATAAGGGAGCTGAACATGGAAATGTTGCATGATACCCGGGCCTTTTCACCTGTCCTGCTTCGTTCAGGAAAGCTAAAGACGGCCTTGAGCGCAAGAACAGTCTACGCGAGTGCTCCAGACACCCTCGAAGAGACGGCAGCTGTTGACTACTCGCACTCTGAAAAGACAACTTCCCCTTGCATGTGGAATGGGAATATCTCTACGTTGCAGCAATAGCAGAAGGAAATTAGGAACTTTTTGAGCTATAAATTGCTAGCCTGAGGCATTGATTCCGCGGAGTAGTGTTGGGAAGAAGATACCTCTATTCTGCCTCCCAAGCGCCTACATACCAAGGGTAGACCGCCGGGAATCATGACGAAGTCTTTGCTGGCGCTTGAAGATATGCTCGCTCGCTCTGGCAAAACATGATAGTCGGTTTTGCAAAGAGCAGATATAGAAAGAAAAAGTAACGGAGAGAAGGAAAGAATCCATTCATCCTCTCGCTGAGAAGAAAACAATGAGATGGAAGAAAAATCATCCAATGGGGTAAATATCCCTCCTTCAGGCTTAATAAGTTTTTATCAGATAACTTAACTAGATCTTCGCTGATTTCCATGGCTTTCTCCTAGGTGGGATAGGGGGTATTAAGGGGCGAGCAAAGGCTCCAACGGTGAGCTTCCCTCAACGCCAAGTTCTTCCGTCCGCACAGCCAGAGCATAAATATTGCACCTATCTTGTTGGGATGGAACAAGAATGCTTTGATCTTCGCGCGCAAAGCTGTCTTCTTGGTGTTGACGACTTGCTGTTCTCCAGCCTCATTGCCCTGACTGGCCTAAATCCTCCAAGCCCAATCATGTCCCCCGGACGAGTTCCTCGCTGCGCCAAAACCGCACAGACCACGCCGCTCCACATTGTGCGCAGGAGCTCAACTACTTCATCCTTGGCCAATTTTAAGAGCCACCAATTGCGTCGCCAAAGTCTGATATGTAATGTGATTGCGTTTCCGCATGACTTGGTTAACCGCGCGAGGAAACAGAAGGGATGTATATTTTATGCAGGAAGTAGTAAAGCCTGCTTATTCGGTCGCTGGCTGCATTAAACTAGCCTGCTCAAGCTATCAACCAAAAAGATTCTACCGTTCACGACCTTGGTTTTTCGGCTGATGGAAACCAGGCCCTGTTGCGGTATTCCTTGGATAGTGACCCCGAGCCGCGCACCAATGCGGTCTCTTAATCAGTGCTTTACTGCAATCACTTTCAGCATTCAGCTAACCGCTCCTCGTGTGCCTAGCTTCTTCTCCCCAACCATTATTTTTCAAGGTTGTTTCCCGGGCCTTCTTGTTACCCTCCTAATTGCCCGTATGCAAGGTAGTCAGGGAAATTGAGGGCTGTAGATCATCTAACCTCCCTTGCTCAACTGCAATTTACCCATGCGATGATTTGCGTTGGACTGCCCAATCTCTAATGAAAATGCAAAAGAAAAGAAAGAACCGTCCAGCGACACTTTTTACGAATATTTATAGACACCCGGCTCCCAGCGCTCGGAAACACCACCAAGATGCGCACATACACTCATTAGCCGAATCCCTAAATTCCGTGTTATATATATCAGCCTCGTTATATTTACGCAATTCCCTTCCATTGTGATGAAGTTATATTCCCTCCTGATAATTGCAATCCTTAGTATCTCCGCCTCGACCTTGCCAACCGCAATATCACCAGAACTTGGAAGAAAGGATAGCATTGAACGACGGGGTGTAATTCCGGGCTGGGATTGGTTAGATGACCTCTTCGGAAAATCAAAACCAAAGGGCGGGCAGACCACCGAAAATGGGGTCAAAAAGTTCAAGGGTTGTCAGCCGTTAACTCTGATATTCGCCCGGGGCACGGACGAAGTCGGGAATATGGGAGAAATAGTCGGTCCTTCTCTAGCAACCGCATTGAGAACCCTTCTGAAAGGAAAGGTCACTGTCCAAGGAGTCGATTACCCTGCCTCTCTTCTAGTAAGTCTCAGCTAAGAGAATAGAATATCACTCGCTAGACGAGTTTTTGTTAACCACATACAACAGGGAAACTTGGACTTCGGGGAAGATGGTGGAAAAACCATGGTTGACCTCGTCAACCAGTCGCTGTCGCAATGCCCTAATAGTAAGGTAGTCCTTGCTGGATACTCTCAGGGAGCTTCAGTGATCCATAATGCCTCTATTGATCTCTGGGATGCTCAAATAGCGAGAGTAGTGCTCTTTGGTGACCCGCTCCGTGGCCTTCCCCTCGTAGCTATTGCCAAAGATAAGGTGATGGAGATATGCGCAAAAGGAGATCCTATATGCCGAGGCGGTTTAGATATCACCGCTCATTTGTCATATGCAGCGGATGCGAATAGCGCTGCTTCATTCCTTGCAGAAGCCGTAACAGGGAAACATTGATAAGAGATAGGAAAGGGAAAAAAAGCTCTGAAAATAAAACACATAGCCCAACACAAGAGAGCGAGCCGGTGGAGACATTTCCCACGAGAAAGGGGTTTGGGACGCGAAACGACCCGTTCCGTCAACCTGCGCCCAGCTTCACACTAGAGTAAGGGAACAAAGCCCTTGCTATATTAATGAATACCTTTTCAAAAATTTGCGTAATCCAAGTGTAATACTTCTATAGAAAATTTCCAATATCTGTCTTTTCTCTTCGTTCTTCTCATTTGATGAAGGGGGTTCTGCCATCTGACGTCCCCCTTGTTCAGTACCCGAATTGATACGCAACCCTTGAAACCCAACCACACCCACACCACAATACCCATGCTTCACATAGCAAAGGATGGTAGGATTCATAAATTCCGCGCGAGGTATCATCGGAAAATGAACAAATTGCCAATCGGATTGAAGGGAGGTTGAGTCAGCCAAGAGGGGAAAGGTATGGCACGGAAACCAAACCCTGCAGAAAGATAATTAAAACCACATCTTAGCATTGCTTGATGTTTTTCTCGAGTGAGTCCAGGGTTAGTTGTTTAGATGTCAAGTTGGATGGAGTTCTGCCGTTCTGCTTACCTAATCAACCGAGCCCAAAGTTGACCAACTAGGGACGAGTCTGTTGAAAACTGCACGAGCGATTGATTGTCCAACAATTAGACAATAATCCTTTCAACATCGTTTTACCGTATCATACCGTCAAATATAAACATGTCGTCAGAAATGGAAATCGATCCTCCTGTTCTGAACAGGCAGGATGATGGCCATCTCCCATCCTCACATGCAACCAGTGAAACGCGGACCCAAGCTGGCGCAGTCGCGGTCCGGAGTATCGAAGGCTGGATTGTTCTTGCGACCAACATTCATGAGGAGGCCTCTGAAGAGGACGTCACCGATCTATTTGCTGAATATGGGGAGATCAAGAATTTCAATTTAAATTTAGATCGGAGGACGGGTTATGTCAAGGCAAGTAACATATGATCTCTTGCGCCCCGCCGCTCCATCTCCGTCCAATCTATGTTCTTACCTCCCTCCCCGTTTACCACTCCTATCACTTCCCTTTCCTATTTTCTTATTTGGTCTAGTTTGCTATCAATCTCCGTCGCTGTCACCTATGCTGACTATTATAATCGGGCAACGTTGCTCACTTGCCTAACAGGGCTACGCTTTAATTGAATACACAACCTTACCCGAAGCGAAGGCCGCTATCGAAGCCCTCAACGGCGCCAAGCTACTCGATCAAACCATCCAGGTCGATTTCGCATTTGTCAGACCACCACCGTCAAATAACAAAGGCAAATCGGGAAATGTTGGGAATCGAGTTCGAGGTCGCGCCCGGAGTAGGAGTCGGGATCGAAGTCGAAGCCCCGAAGACAAAGCGGGACGAAGTTAAAACCCGGTCGGATTGCGAAAAATTTTCTACTACGGATTATTGTTATTTCCAGCGGACCTGTCTTGAATGTCGTGTTTCCCTTTACTCACTTGTACGAAATATCAAGGTGCATGAAAACCCACGTGCACCAGGGAAATATAGCCCCGAGTGGAAAGAATTTGGCGGGGACTGATACGGTTTGTCCATGGCAATACGATTTTCCTAAGCAGTGGACTTTTCCATTTTTATTCGCCGACTCTGTCTTCCTTAGTGACACCCGCATCTAGCTTGCTTGCTCTCAACGCACAGTCCGGATGCGAAGGCGTCAGGGAACAGAAGTGTCGGCGCTAGATAGCCCGGAGGAAAAGGTAAGACTTTCCATGTTGACTTTCATCACAATTCGAATGCTAACAAAATGTCATTAGCTACCTTCTTTAGCCATAAATTGGACTGAATGATATATAAATTTTCAGACATAAAATTTCAGACAATTATCCAGTTGTTCTCTCCCTTTGTTCTACACAGCCTCTGATATCTTCTTACGGCTAGGCGAATGACCACGAACTCCGCACATACATTTGCAAATGTGCGTACAACATACCAAGGTATCAGATCATACTAGGCGTAACATAGCTCATTCTTGTCCGTTCTCCGAAGCTGCTCTTCTCAATTCTGATTTAAAGGCAAAATTGACGTAGGACATACCGTCAGTGGGATTTCCAAACTCAATAATTCGGTTTCAGAGATTTTGTGACAAAATGTAAGGGCATAGAGGTGCCCAGCGGCTACTGCCGATTCATGAGCTGCGTCAAACGTTGTAAGATTATATGTAGGGCTAGTGAGTAAATCTTTCTAGCTGGCTGGTATGCGATGAAACCGTTGGCCGTGTGAACGAAATGGACTGTGCTCTATGTGCATCAGGCGCGTTGAGTATATTGGAAATATTTCATGTTATAGGAGAATGACGCAAGCTCAGGGAAGATACTCCAGGGCTGTCTGGATCCATGTCCGGCATGATCACGTGGATTCTGTGGATCGTGTGAAAAACAGGAACTTGCCGCTGTATGGTTGTTGTTTTTCATCATGTCTTTAAATAGAAACATAAATACATAGATCTATTGCGGCCAGGCTATAGTGAGGTCTGCTGATTTATTCGCGGTCTTGTATCCAGTGCAATGGATTAAAGTTTGAGCAGGAGGGCCATGGTCCAAAACAGAAACATCTTTCCCCGCAGAACATGTTCCTCGACGCCTCAAAACCAGGCCATCATCCTTTATCCACATAACCGCTCTTCCGACTCCCTTGCGCTTCCAATGGCGCGGTTCATCATTACATGTGTCATTGGTTAGCTGATGCACTGCTTTCGTTTATTACTTCTCCCTTCTAGCTACCAGTACTAGATCCTATCTCAAGGAATAGATATAGCGTTGCCACACCCTTGCCATACCCACGCTCCTCAACTCGTTTTGATTATATATTTTTAGGTATCGTCACACCACAGAAATCCCTGAAAACCCAGTTCTTATAGCGTCGATATGGGTTCTCGCTTGAGGTGTCCTAGAAAAGGGCTATCTCCCTTCTCTCTCATTATTATTACCGTTGGAGTTCTTCTATGTCTTTCCCTTCACGACACTGCGCTGGCGCAACCACTAGAAAACAGTGGCTATCCGGACAGTGATGGCCGACAGAAACCTCTCAATAATCCTGCAATGACGATCCCATTGAGTGCCTCTAAAGGGTCGAAACCGCAAAAACCAATCCACGACCCCAATGTTTCTGACACACTAAAGAAATTGCTCAACGCGTTGGATGTGATGCAATCGTCATATTTTGAAACTTGGCAAGGTACCTGGCCGTCGAGCATTGATTGGACTGCAGCAGTTCTAGGAACACACGTCTCTGCAACGCTCTCTTCACTGAGCATAAATCTCCATGCCATTCTCGACGACCATCATTCGGCAGCCGCTGGCGGCTCCGCCACTTTGGGATCTCATCATTCCGACGTTCTAGCGTACGAAAACCTTATAAACTACTATTTTCTGCACCTGTCCGGATTTTACTTTGGGGAAGACGCTTTCAGCTTGAGGATGCAGGCATA